TCAGTAGCAAAGCTCATTAGTTCTTTTAATACCAATTGTAATGTCCCAAATCCCTCCTGTCTTTCCAAAACTGTTTTATTATATTTGATAATTTTTTCATTGAAATGAACTGAAACAATTCTGAAAGAAACTTCTAGACAGCTGGAAGCCTTGGAGCAGATGAGAGTTTGAGTAAGCTCAGTGAGAATTTAGTCAAGCTACCCTGGCTTGCAATTCCTTTCCAACTTATATACAACTTTGATTGAACATTGCTATTTTCTATCAACCACAGTTAGGTTAGATCTTTACAGAAGCCATTTCAACCTGAAACTTTAAAAAAGTTCAGATGTTAGTGTTCCAATGTTCAATAATTTTTATAGACTCCTACTGTCTCTGGTTTATATATGAGTCAAAGAAAGAGAAAGTCCAACAAAACCCAAGTGATTCATAGAAACCTAAGATTAACTTGTTGTCCAGTTCATTTCCAGGGTCACATTGCAGGGGATGATAAACCATCTTACTTTAAAAATCTGCATAGAGGTAGATTCTATAATCTTTTTAAATTGCTTGCTCTAAGAATCTATGTTCTTTGTGCTTTTTTTGTTTTTTAAAAAAATCTTTTAAGATTATAAAATTTATTTTTAAATGAACACAATATAGAAAATATTGAAGAGGAACTCTCCCTCTCCATCCCCATGATACTGTGATTAGCCTGGCGCTAATCACCAAATACAAGCAGAGTTTGAGCACTAGAGTCCTCGGGTGACTCAGATGTCTCTGGGACATATCTGTTCAATCCCAAGGGCTGCCCTCCAGCACTCTATGTGTGTGGAGATTAGGAGGGAACTGTCGTGAAGGAGTGCCCACGAGAAGTTTGACCTAATTCTGCCAGCTGCCTATATGGTGTATGGTACTGGCCCATTCCATTACTATCCGAGTCCTGTGAGGGTACTGGGAAATGTTGTGATTAAATATCGTAAAAGCAATTTCACTACACTGTTGTACACACTGGGGCCAAGGCAACTACCTTAAGACACCTCTCTCAGATTATGACAAAACTAAGGAGGGATTCTTTCCTGGGGCCAGAGGTGCTCAAGCGCCTCTGTGGTGAGGCCGATAGCACAGAAGTCCGGCCTTAGTGCCCACTGGGAACAGATGTGCTGGTGAGCACATTTTAGAACTCCCCAGCTCCAGGACTGGGGGATTTATTTGGAGCATGTTTTGTAAAGAGCTGTGGTTCTATATAACACAGGAAAGAGGTAGAACCAGGGAAATAAGTGTTTTTACTAATAGTGTAAACCCTTTAGTATCTGTAGGCAGGTGAGGGCTATGAAAATTCATATTAAATAACCATAACATTTTATGATTCAATAATTTTATTTCCTAGGGTGTTTTGTACATTGCATTTTTCATTATTTAATGAACAATGTCTTATTTTCATTTAATATTCTTCAAAATATCCTTTTGTTTTGTGCTCCTAGATATCCCATCTTGATTTGGAAGGTCTCCCCCATTCCTAGATTAAACACATGGTCTATTAGATTTTTATTATTTTATTTTTACAATCAAACTTCTTTACTCATTTTGAATATATATGTATATATGTATATATGTGTATATATGTATATATGTGTATATATACGTATATATATGTATAAATTTTCAAAGAGAGGCCTGGAGGAAATTTTAATTTCCTCCAGACAGACTGTCAATTGGGCTAGCATCATTTATTAAATAACCCAACCTTTGCTCAGTGAGTTAAAATACTTCTTTGTCATATATTAATGGCTGCATAGTACGTTATATATACCATAATTTATTTAAGAAAGGCAGCATATGTGCTAGTTAAGATGTAAGATGCAGATTCTAGAGTCAACTGCATGGGCTTGTCATTTATTAGCTATGTGATCTGGAGTAGGTTTCTTATTTTAGCGCAGCAATTTTTTCTTTTTATTTTTCTTTTATTGTATAAAACAAAAGGTTTGACTAAGAAATGCATTTTAAAATAAATATATTTTTTATTTCAATAGTTTTGGGGGTACAGGTGGTTTTTGGTTACATGGATAAGTACTTTAGTGGTGGTTTCTGAGATTTTAGTGCACCTGTAACCTGAGCAGTGTATACTGCACCCGATATGTAATATTTTATCCCTCATCCCCCTCCCAACCTTTCCTCAAGTCCCCAAAGTCCACTATATCACTCTTATGCCTTTGCACCCTCACAGTTTAGCTCCCACTCCTAAGTGAGAACTTAACAATATTTGGTTTTCCATTCCTGAGTTATTTCACTTAGAATAATGGCCTCTAGCCCCATCCAGGTTGCTGCAAAAGACATTATTTTATTCCTTTTTATGGCTGAGTAGTGTTCTATGGTGCATATATACCACATTTTCTTTAACCACTCATAGGTCAAAGGGCACTTAGGTTGGTTCCATATCTTTGCAATTGTGAACTGTGTTGCTATAAACATTCATATGCATGTGTATTTTTCATATGATTCTTTTGCTTTGAGTAGACACCCACTAGTGAGATTGAGATTGCTGGATCGAATGGTAGATCTACTTTTAGTTCTTTAAGGACTCTCCATACTGTTTTCCGTAGTGGTTGTACTAATTTACATTCCTAGCAACAGTGTAAGAGTGTACCCTTTTTACCACATCCATGACAATATCTATTGTTTTTTGACTTTTTATGGCCATTCTTGCAGGAGTAAGGTGGTATTTCATTGTGGTTTTAATTTGCATTTCCCTGATGATTAGTGATATTGAGCATTTTTTTCAAGTTTGTTGGCTGTTTGTATATCTTCTTTCAAGAATTGTCTATTCATGTCCTTTGTCCACTTTTTGATGGAATTTTTTAATGCTGATTTGTTTGAATTTCTCATAGAGTGTGGATACCAGTCCTTTGTCAGATGCATAGTTTGCAGATATTTTCTCCACTCTGTCGATTGTCTGCTAATTCTGCTGATTATTTCTTTTGCTGTGCAGAGCTTTTTAGTTCAATTAGGTCCTATTTGGTGGTTGTTGTTTTTGTTGCACTTGCTTTTGGGGTCTTAGTCATTAATTCTTTAATGTCAAGAGAGCTTTTCTGATGTTATCTTCTAGAACTGTTACGGTTTCAGGTCTTAGATTTAACTAAGGCTTTGATCCTTCTCGAGTTGATTTTTGCATGAGGTGAAAGATTGGGATCCAGTTTCATTCTTCTACATGTGGCTTGCCAGTTTTCCCAGCACCATTTATTGAATAGGGTGTCCTTTCCCCACTTTATGTTTTTGTATACTTTGTTGAAAATCACAGTTGGCTGCAAGTATTTGACTTTATTTCTAGATCATCTATTTGGTTCTATTGGTCTACGTGTCTATTTTTATGCCAGTATCAAAGCTCAGCTATTTGTTTGCTTTGTGACCATGGGCAAGTTACTTATCCCTCTGTGCCTCAGTAGCCTCATCTGTAAAATGGGGATAAAATCTCTTATGTTATGTTCATTAGTTGATGTGTTCTGCTGTGGTAACAATTCAATTCCGTATGCTCAATGCTTAACACATCAAAGGTTTATTTCTTGCTCTAGTCATTGTCCAGTGTGGGCCAGGTGGCTCTCTTTGGTGGCTTTTCTCCATGTGATGATTTTGGGATCTGAGTTGCTTCAAACATGTGGTTCCTAAATTGCCATGGAATGAACATAACATAAGAGATTTTATCCCCATTTTACAGATGGAAGAGAAGACAGAGCTGAAGTGTCACTCTGAGTGATCTTTGGACTTAGGTCAATAAAAAGCGTATGTTACTTTTGCCCATATTTATTGACTAGAGTCACATAATTTCCAACTGAACTGCTAGGGAACCTGGGAAAGACAGTCTTCTTTTATTCCCAGGGAGAGGAAGTGTTTTGATTAACACAAAGTGCAGTCTCTGCCATATTGACTATTTGCCTTCCAGAAAGGTTATACTGATTTACATTCTCACCTTTAGTAAACGAGACTACTTACTTCCACTCATTATTGTCTATAGCAGTTGTTATTTTTCTTACTTTACTTTTTATGAGTTTTATAAGCTGAGAAAAATGTCAACTACAAGTTATCTAGAAGATAACATCAGAAGAGCTCTCTTGACATTAAAGAATTAATGACTAAGACCCCAACAGCAAGTGCAACAAAAACAACAACAACATAGGACCTAATTAAACTAAAAAGCTCTGCACAGCAAAAGAAATAGTCAGCAGAATTAGCAGACAACTGACAGAGTGGAGAAAATATCTGCAAACTATGCATCTGACAAAGGACTGGTATTTTTATTTATTTGATTTTATTAAATTTAAAATTAAAATTAGCCACTTACACTTATTTATCTTGTTTTATAAATTTCCTGTCCATTGATCATAATAACAGCTGAGTTAATGAAGCAGCTTGAGAGAGTGGGGGGAAAGAACGAGATTTTGAGTTAGAATATTTAGCTTTGAGTACCAGACCTATCACTTATTGCCCGCATTATTTGGTTCTCCTTAATTTCAGTTATTTAAATGTGAAAGAGAGAAAATAAAGTATACTTCACAGGACAATATAGAAGTTAGTAAAATATATGTAAAGGATACATATTTTAAATATATATCATTTATCTATATTCTTATAAAACATCATACATTCCTTTATTGAGTCATATATTCTGTTTTCAATGATTTCTTCTATCCTTTTTTTTCCACTAGACCATAAACTTTTTGAAGGGATGCATTTGTGTTTGTGTTCCTAGAGCCTACCACAATTTCTAACATACAGTAAACTTTAGATGATTGTTTCTTGAATGAATAAATGATTGAATGAATAAACAAATTGATGATATTGGATCCATTTTAGACTTTACAGGCTTAAAAAATACCCTGCAATATATTTGTTTATTGAATCTTCATAACAGTCCTTCGCACGAGCTTGGTAGATACCATGAGCTTCTGAAACAAAATGCTAAAGAGCCTCAAATATTTTATACCCTCTCTTCTTTGCTGGGTATATCACTGCTGTTTACCAAATAAAAGGGGGTCCCTACATTGGCTGGTGGGACAGGAAGGACATCAAGAAGGGGGAGAAGAACACAATTGTCACCTCTTACAACAGGAACTTCATGGGCCGCAGTGATACCAACCCTGAGACCCATGCCTTCGTCAAGTTCCCAGAGATTGTCACAGCCCTGGCCATTGCAGGAACCTCAAGTTCAACCCAGACACTGACTACCTGATGAGCAAGGATGGCAAGAAGTTCAAGCTGGATGAGCTTCCCCAAGTGGAGTTTGACCCAGGGCAGGACATCTACCAGCACCTCCACCCCCGCCAAAGGACAGGAGTGGGCAGCACATTGACGTGAGCCCCACCAGCCAGTGCCTGCAGCTACTGCAGCCTTTTGACAAATGGGATGGCAAGGACCTGGAGGACCTGCGGATCCTCATCAAGGTCAAAGAGAAGTGTACCACTGACCACATCTTGGCTGCTGGCCCCTGGCTCAAGTTCCATGGGCACTTGGACAACATCTCCAACAACTTGCTCATTGGTGCCATCAACATTGAAAATGGCAAGGCCAACTCTGTGCACAATGCCCTCACCCAGGAGTTTGGCCCTGTCCTTGAGACTGCCTGCTACTACAAGATACATGGCATCAGATTGATGGTGATCAGGGACAAGAACTACGGTGAGGGCTCGAGCCAGGAGCATACAGCACTAGAGTCTCACCACCTTGGGGGCCGGGCCATCATCACCAAGAGCTTCGCCAGGATCCATGAGACCAACCTGAAGAAGCAGGGCCTGCTGCCCTGACCTTTGCTGACCCAGCTGACTACAACAAGATTCACCCTGTGGACAAACTGACCATTCAGAGCCTGAAGAAATTCTCCCCTGGCAAGTCCCTGAACTGCATCATCTGGCACCCCAATGGGACCCAGGAGACCATCCTCCTGAACCTCCTGAACCTTCAACGAGATGCAGATCAAGTGGTTCCGCACCGGCAGTGCCCTCAACAGAATGAAGGAGCTGCAGCAATGACGGCAGCACCTCCTCACAACCCCCCCCCTCCCTCACCCAGCGCTGGAGTCATGTTCAAGTTCAGCTCTATTTGAGCCATCAGAGGATCTGATCCAGCCAGCCATGGCTTCTTATTCCAAGATGGTGTGACCAGACATGCTTCCTGCTTCCCAGTCAGCCCACGGAGTGACTGTGGTTGGGGGGGTTTCTTAAAATAACTTTTTAGCCCCTGTCTTCCTATTTTTAGTTTGGTTCACATCTTAGGCAGCTCCATGCAACCGTATTTTTTTTTTTATGACAAGACTCCCATCTAAAGTTTTTCTCCTGCCTGATTATTTCATTGGTGGGTGAAGGAGTCTAGAGAACCTTTTGTTCTTGCAAGGAAAACAAGAATCCAAAATCAGTAACAAAAAAAAAAAAAAGAGGGCCCAACCTTTAAACCATGCAGTCAGTACCACATCCTTGTTCTCAGCTCCTAGTTAATGCTCTCCACCTGTATAACTTCACCAGTGTTTACTCTCAGAATGCCTGCTGTGCCCTTAGCCCCATTCTAAGAGTTCCTGTGCATAGATTCTTACTTAAGAAAGTGGACGTAGTCAATTCCTTTAACTTCTATGACCATGTGTTTTACTACATTATTTCTACTACCCACCTATGTTTTGGTCTAGCAGAAAGACCACACCCAAAGGCAAAGAATCCCTGAGCTGACCATTAGTCCAGAAAGAGGCCATGTACTTCAGCTTTGTCCAACAGGTATGACAGCAGTTAACCAAAATTTATCAAACTCTTACACTTTGGGAATTGGGGGTTTGAAATATAGAATTGGGCAGAGAGTAAAGAATACTGAAGCAGAAAGGCAATGAGAATGCAGTACACAATTGTCAAATTCAATGCTTGCTCCCCAAAATATCACTACAACAGCCTGTGGATAAGACAAAGCTGAGTGTATTGTTCATCTACTAAGAAAGAATGTCTACAAAGTCTTATTAACAAAGTCAGGATACTGATTGACATTTCGAAGTGTGGTTTAAGATGGGTTCTTTTGATGATGGAGAGGAACTTAATCAGGATGAGGGTAGGGTTATGATAAAATAGTTTAGGATTGTTGCAGACAGCTAGGTGAGAATTTTAAGAGAACGAGTTCAAAGAGTCTTGGGTATGAACTGGTTTAGGATGCATTCTATAGAAGAGTTCATAGTTCTTTGGGGAAGTTACTGGAACAAGCAATAATATTATTTGCAATTTTTATCTTCCTGGGAAAGAACTGTGTTCAGTAGTAAAGTTATATTGATGAAGACAGTCAACTGTATAGACAATTTTTATTCTCATCACAAAGCAAAAGCAGCAAATAAGTAAACAGAAGCGTAAGGTAGAAAAACACTGTCCAGAGCAGAAACACAGAGGATCTAAAACACACCAATAGGGGAGGGCCTGGTGACCAACCCGTACTGCAGAAAGGATCTTTTTCTCTGATCCAGCCTTTCTTGCCTTAGACAATCTGGATCATCATGCTATCCAATCAGTAACTTGTACACTTTTCTCATGTTGAGCAAAAAGAATAAACCAATCCAAATAGAGTATTCCATGCTAAGCCTTGGGCTCACAAGTTTAAATTCTTACAGTTCCATTCAACAACTTTGGAGTTGGAGAGAATCCCATTCGGATATGAGGGAAAAAATTACCAAGTCAAGAAATCATGAACTCTGCCGGCATGTTTAAAACTTTCAGGGTATCAGGCATGCTGTATAAGCTCATTATGCAACATATATCAGATCTCACAGCTCGCTTCATATATGTACTACCCTGTGAACTGAAACATATTCGTATTAGAAGTGCATTTGTTTCCAGTTACAAAAATGTGCTGGTTATGATGGATTTAGGAATTATGCTTGTTCTTCCGCATATCCACTCTATGGCATAACTCTTCTTCCCTCTTGTTATCTGGCCTCTGCTTCCACTTGGGACATCTATCACTCCTGTTATCTACCACAAGTTCCCAAAATTCCATCATCCAAGAGTTAGTCCTTTTTGTTTTGATTAATAGCAACAGTCTGAGTGGTAGATGATGTGCAAAGAAGAGCCACTCATGAGGGACAGACTAGAGCTTCTCACACACCCAAGTGGCATGGGCCATAGAGTAGGAAAATCATTAGGTCTGTTTTGTGCCAGAAATCTTTGTGATGAGTAAGTTCTTCCTCATATTTCTAAACTTGGAGCTTTTCCCCCTTAGAGCCTACATCTTTCACGAAGATATAATATTTGCTAAATTAAAAAGTCACACCAAATTGTCATTGAAATAAAAATACATATGCAACTACCAGTCTGTTCAATTGCCTATAAATTACATAATATATAGAGAAAAGAATAGAAAGCCCCTGTTTATTTCTTCTGGACACACCAAAAAGAAATTTGTCTGTAGTCGTTGTATTTACCAAAGTGTTGTAGTGTTGCCTGGGACAATCAATAGAAGGTTACTTTTCCTGGAGTATCACAAGGTAGTGCAATCCCAGCTCTGCAAATAACTGGTTCTGTGATCTTAAACAAGCTACTTAACATATTATTTGTTCATTTACCAAATAAATGTTTCTTAGGGTTTAACTATTTGCCAGGCTTTGTGCTGAAAACTGGATAAAATGGCAGGTAAAATACAATCCTCACCCTCCATGGCTTTATAGTATAATAATATCTTCAGCTGAAAAATAAGGCAATAACTTCTACTTCAGAAGTTATGAAATTTTTATTTTTAATTTTTGTGGGTACATAGTAGGTATAAATATTTATAGGGTACATGAGTTTTTTTAATAAAGGCATGCAATGTGAAATAATAACATCATGGAGAATGAGGTATCTGTCTCCTCAAGCATTTATCCTTTGAGTAACAAACAATCCAGTTACACTCTTTAAGTTATTTTAAAATGTGCAACTAAGTTATTATTGACTATAGTCACCCTATTGTCTCAAATAGTAGGTGTTATCCATTCTTTCTAACTATTTTTTTGGGGGGTACCTATTAACCATTCCCACCTCCCCCAGCCCTCCCTCTACCCTACCTAGCCTCTGGTAACTATCCTTCAACTCTCTATGTCAATGAGTTCAATTGTTTTGATTTTTATATCCCCAAAACACCCAATATTTGCCTTTCTGTGCCTGGCTTATTTCACTTAACATAATGACCTCCAGTTCCATCCGTGTTGTAAGGTTATGAGATTTAAATGAGATTATTATATGTGAAAAGTGCCTGATTCTGTGCCAGCTCTGTGGTCCATACTTATTTACTGTTATTTCTCTTCTTTTTCTTCCTTAGCAGAGTGTCAAGCATAATTCACTCGGATATGGTGCTAAACCTAACTTGTACATGTCAGAAATTATATATAGGCAGAGAAGATAAAAATGCTACACATGCCTGATCGAAACCATCCTGGCTAACACAGTGAAACCCCGTCTCTACGAAAAATACAAAAAAAAACTAGCCAGGCATGGTGGCGGGCGCCTGTAGTCCCAGCTACTCGGGAGGCTGAGGCAGGAGAATGGCGTGAACCCGGGAGGCGAAGCTTGCAGTGAGCCAAGACCACGCCACTGCACTCCAGCCTGGG